CCTACTGAGTCCTTGTACTGCGATAGTTCCTTAGGCCTATTTCGTTATATAATTGTACACTTTGCAAATGTTTAGGTTTCACCATAAAGCACTCGCAGATATTCTTTATGCTGGATTAAAACTTGACATAAAGTCTAAGCCAAATGGAACAAGTCTCGATTGTAGAGAGAATACATGTGTCATAGGAACATTACTTCATAATTTGATAGAGTTTATAGCACAAAAGTTTGGAGTGAAGCCTAAGCTTCTTTATGACTTTATGTCGTATATGTCGTTTATGAAGCGACTTTATGTCGATAGATATTTTGTCTCTTCGAATATTATTCAAAGAGACAAAATATTGAACATGTTATTGTTATTGAATTTTGTTATTGAACATAAAAATCATTCCTCCTGTGAACACATCACAGAAAAAAGTGTAGGCCACCTCAGGGTATTCTGATCGGACCACTCTCTGGAACACTGCATTGATGATATCCTGAAGTTAAGCCAGTGGCAGGGGTATATATACAAATGATAGCAAGCAAACTCTTCAAACCTATTATATTTTGGGGACTAAGTTGACAAATTAGTCTATTGTTTCCCAAGAAAACTTAAATAACAAATAATAGCCTATCTCATAAAGGTCCAAAATATTTCGACCTAGCATAGGCCTAGTCTGGGCTAAGGCTAGACATGAATAACACGACATATACCTCTCCTTTACTAGCCTAGACATGTGAAAGATGTTGTGGCATAGACTAAACGAGCTACGAAACTTGTATATTTGTAGAGGGTTGCTTATGACCCAGAATCCTAGATACTAAGAGGTGCTTAACACTATACAACTAACAAAATAAATATACATTATAAAGTATTAAACTGACTTCTGTCCATGGACTTATCTTAAATTCTTAATCAAAACAAGACAGGGTCACACACCTAGTGAGAATTAAGCTTAATTAAACTGACCCATGCCTTAGGCTGCATCCCAAATAGTATAGTGGTTTTGTTAAGTATTTCAACAACTTCGTCCATAGTAAAGAACCCACCAGTGGAGTCACATGTGACGACCAGAAACACTGGATGTTACTTTTTGAGGATGAGAATAATTTCTATGCTTGTGTCTTACAAAATAGCAATATTGTGAAAATCATTTTTGTAACAGGCTGAATACCTGGAGCATTCTGGAGAGGATTTCGGGAGTTCTACTTCCCGAGCCCGACCTGGAGCTGGGCCCGAATATCTAAACACAATGTCACTCCAACAATTCATGGGTTTCAAATATCTTGTGAACCAATAGCCAATTAACACAATATGGTATTCAACAAATTCCAGGTATACCAGTACTACAACATACACTCTAGCCTAACTGAACAGAAAATGGCAGATCTGTGTTTTAGCAATGAAAACAACCAATCAGTTAAGCGAAGAAAAAATAAGTACTGGTAAGCATTATGGCGGTTTACTGGTAGGCCTATATATATATATATATATATATATATATATATATATATATATATATATATATATATATATATATATATATATATGTGTGTGTGTATATATATGTGTGTGTGTATATCACGAAAATAAACACGTGATTAAGAATGTGACAATGTCAGACCACGGAGGAAAAATGAAACAGGAAATTTCCTTAAGTACTTTCGTATATTAAATACATCTTCAGAAGGTCATCTGAAGGAAATTTCCTGTTTCATTTTTCCTCCGTGGTCTGACATTGTCATATATATATATATATATATATATATATATATATATATATATATATATATATATATATATATATATATATATGTCGTACCTAGTAGCCAGAACGCACTTCTCTGCCTACTATGCAAGGCCCGATTTGCCTAATAAGCCAAGTTTTCCTGAATTATTATATTTTCTCTAATTTTTTTCTTGTGAAATGATAAAGCTACCAATTTCATTATATATGAGGTAAAAAAAATTTTATTGGAGTTAAAATTAACGTTGATATATGACCGAACCTAACCAACCCTACCTATACAATACAATTTTATACAATACAATTTTATTTAGGTAAGGTACATACATACAATAAATATTTACAAGGATTGTTTGACTTATAGGTAGAGCTAGTACATACAATGCCTAAAGCCACTATTACGCAAAGCGTTTCGGGCATAACCTCACCTAACCTAACCTAACCTATCTCTATAGGTTAGGTTCGGTTAGGTACCCGATAAAGTTAGGTTAGGTTAGGTTGGGTAGGTTAGGTAGTTGAAAAACAATTAATTCATGAAAACTTGGCTTATTAGGCAAATTGGGCCTTGCATAGTAGGCTGAGAAGTGCGTTCTGGCTACTAGGTACGACATATATATATATATATATATATATATATATATATATATATATATATATATATATATATATATATATATATATAACAACAATTACAACTATGTTCTCATCTGTGGACCCCTACAACCAAAAACGCTTTGCATAACAGTGGTTTCATTAGCATGTGTAATTCCTGTCCCTACAATTGTACATTACTCAAATGTTCTTTGTACACACATAATAAATTTATATTTATTATAAATATAGTAAATATAAAT